CGACTGCTGTTCATTATTACATCCAACAACAGAACACCTCAATCGCTCAGGAGTCATTCTTGTCTACATCTGCTCCGGCGGTGAAACAATGAAGCACTGATGACAGTCACTCAGGGCGGAGCTAAGGTAAAACTCTACTGTCAATCAAACTATCATGGGAGGGGCCTGTTTTTGTGACGTCACACAGACAGGCATCTGAGATCGGCTCGATTTGAGAAAGGGGAAAACATTTAACCAGATTTTAAAAAAAAAACACTGGGTGGATTTTAGGGTGGTTGTGTACACACACTGCCAACACACATTTCAATTCAAACAACTTGTAAAAGAGCATGTAGCATCCTATGACCCCTTTAATACAGGTTATACTCACGCTCTGCGGTCGTGGTCAATCCGGTTTATCTTTCCTCCAATGAACACACGGATCTTGCAGTCGCGCCATTTCTTTTTGTTGGTTAGCAAATACGGTATCAAAAGTGTCAAGCCTACAACGAGTAATCAATCACAGTGTCATTTATTAAAGCTACAAACTCTCAGAGAGCATAATAAAGGCAAACATTCAATCATAAAACTACACTCTTTACCTCCGTCGTCAAACAGCCACCAAACATCGATGGTTCCTTTGCTTTGTTTCTTCTGGAACTGTTGACTGGCGGCCAGAAGTTTCTCATCCGCAGGACTGAGCTGCATCGGAGGCTTCTTGGTGTCTGAAATCACACATGCATCGTCAGAGAAGAGAAATTAGCATCAGTTTACCAGATACAGATTATCACGAATCTGAGATGCACAAAGCCGTTTCATGGAAAATTTATATTTGCTATGAACTAATTCCGTGAGCGCATGTAACATGATGTTCAGAAGAATACAAATCTGTACATTCATGCATCGAAGGAAACTGCAGGAGGTTCATGAACTGGAGGATATTTGGAGTGGCTCTAATGGGAACACAATACGACTTGACTTCAGTCTCTAATCAAGATTTTTACAGTTTACACTCATCGCAGGAACACTCATTAAAGGAATAGTTCAACCAAAAATGAAAATGTACCTACTCGCCCTCAGGATCATCCGAGATTAGGATTAGTTTGTTTCTTCATCAGATTTGGAGAAATGTAGCATTGCATCAGTGTCTCAGCAATGGATGCTCTGCAGTGAATGGGTGCCGTCAGAATGAGAGTCCAAACAGCTGATAAAAACATCACAATAATCCACAAGTAATCCACAGCACTCCAGTCCATCAGTTAACAGTCCATTCCATAATCCATAATAACGCTTCCTCCGGTGAAAAATTCTTCTGGTCTGAATCAGGAGAGAAATCTGCACAGATCAAGCAGCGTTTAAACAGCTCTAAACACATATGTGGCTGGGTTTTGATGTGAGAGACAACAGCAGATGCACTTTTTCACTGGAGGAAGAGTTATTATGGATTATGGACTCGTATTTTAGTTAAAAACATCTTAATGCTGGCTTTGTTTCAGCGTGTGTCTTCTCCAGATGTTAACTGATGGACTGGAGTGCTGTGGATTACTTGTGGATTATTGTGATGTTTTTATCAGCTGATTGGACTCCCATTCTGAAGGCACCCATTCACTTGCAGTGAGCAAGTGATGCAATGCTACGTTTCTCCAAATCTGATCTCATCTTGATCTCGGATGATCCTGTGGGTGAGCACATTTATTTTTAAATGTGCATTACGTCATTGTTTTCTGACCTCTGAAGATGAGCGGGCTGCTTTGGCAGCTGGTGGATTTAGATGACGGTTTTGAGGAATCGCTGTCAAAGTCTTTGATGTTGATGGACACCAAGAGATCCTTCATTCCAGGAGGTTTCTCCTGCGAGGTCTGAAATTCATCTGAAGAAAGACCAACAGAAGCAGAGTTAGAATCACAGATGAAAAGACTCAAACCAGTTACACTTTAACCAGGAAACTCGACCTTGAATGTGAGAGATGTCGAGACCTTCTTTCAGTCTCAAGAGAACCACCCCGAACTGCAGGTCAAACGCGTCACTGAAACACACACAGTGATCATTCAGATGAAGATTTCAGTTCTTAAAGATGAAGACATGAAGAGCGTCACACAGTCAGACTCACTGGATGGTGTTGATGTAGGTTTCCACATCCTTCATCTCACCGTCCCTCCAGTTGTTCTTAAAGCCAAACACCAGTGTGTTGGGTTTTAGGCGACCCAACCCAGTGGTCTGTGAATCCCGACAACATCAGGTTTACTCTTAGTTTTAAATGCGTTCTGATTCAGTTCATTACATGAGCTCTTTGTTCTGACCTGTAGGAGATACTGGGCTCCTTGTCTGAGATCATCAGCAAACACAGGAGTGTAAAAGGCTTTGATTCGGGTCTTTAGCAGCCAGCGCTGATAGCGCACCTGCTCGTTCATCATGTCCTTATAGTTTGGCCTACGGTATCCCTGCAGGAAAATGCAAGAAACAGGGTTTCTGCAGGATTTTTTAAGACTTTTTTAAACTCTAAAATGACTGTAAAAAGCATGATTTACAGTTCAGATACAAGTTTTCACAAAAACAAAAGGTTTTATGAACTGATACACTTCCATTCAAAAAAATGGATGAGTCAAAAGTATTAATCATTATGTTAATTGAAACAATTATTATCAATAAATTGTTATATTAACTAAAAAATATCTCTTATCTAAAAAAGTATCTTCTTATCAATCCACCAGTTCACATTTACAGCTCTGTGTGTGGGTGGATTTTCACATTGGTCTGAACAAAAACAGCAGACGGGCTTATTAAAAATGCACATTCATTCTCTGCCAGCAGGTGGCGCTTTCGGAACAGCAGAAATATAACTGTTTTCCTGGTAACGGCAATACACAAAGTAGCGTAGCACTGCAGCGCTCGTGTTTATTCAATGAAATCATAGCCATTTGAAGTTTAATCGTCACATTGAGCCATATCGCAATTCAGTTTTTTCCGTAACGTAATTTAAGACCTCTTGAAATCATAATTATGTAACTGCTCATAACTGCAAAGATAATTCATTGAAATTACATACCGTGCGCACGTGGCCACAGACCATCAAGCCCACGTCTTTGGTGAAAGCGTGCACTAGATACAGCAGCGCTGGTCTTGAGTTTGGGTATCCGGACATTACGAGACACTGAGGCCTGTGGTAAAAATTATTTCAGAGAGGTTTTGGGTCTCTATAGAGTCACATATGACAGCTTCAGCATCTGTCGGTGGATCACCTGAAGTTCTTGATATGGTCCTCAACCCCCGTGAGATGCAGACTGTGAGTCAGTGCCTGATTGTACATCAGCGCTTGTGTCGACGAACCCCAGTTCACATCTGCAGCAGAAAAATGCATTTTGACACTCAGTTATGATTTATGAAATTTTAAAACATAACTGATAACACTTTACAATACAAAGTAATAGTTCACCCAAAAATAAAAATGATCATCATTTACTCACCCTCATGTTGTTCCAAACCTGTATGAGATTCTTTCTTGTGTGGAACACAAAAGATGCTTTGAAGAATCTTGGCAATCTAACAGTTGACGGTAGCCATTGACTTCCATATTAGGGTTAAAAAAAATACTATGGAAGTCATTGGCTGCCAGCAACTGTTTGGTTACACTCATTGTTCAACAGAAGAAAGAAATTCAACACGAGGGTAAGTAAATAGTGTCAGAAGTTTTATTTTGGGGTGAACTATGCCTTTATCATGAACCACAATTACATTTATGCATTTGGTAGACTCTTTTATCCAAAGTGACTTTATCCAAAGTTCCAAGATCTACAGGAAGGCTACATTAACTTTAGTTAATGAACTAACATGAAAAAAACAATGACCAACTGCATTTTAATTAGCTAACATTAACAAATACATATATTAAATGCTATGAAAATTATATTGCTTATCGTTACTCCATGTCATTTAGAGCACTGCATTAGTAGACATGAACTAAAAATTCACCCTATATATTTAAAAAATGCATATTATTGATCTCATTGTGAACAATTAATCTGTGCATTTAAATTTTTTCAAAATGTGTATTATTGATCTTATTGTAAACAATTCATGTGTGCATTTTTCACTTTTAAAAAATGCATATTATTGATCTTATTACGAACAATTCATATGTGCATTTTTTTTACTTTTTTAAAAATGCATATTATTGATCTTATTACGAACAATTCACATGTACATTTTTTTTACTTTTTAAAAAATGCATATTATCGATCTTATTACGAACAATTCACATGTGCATTTTTTTTACTTTTTAAAAAATGCATATTCTCAATCTTATTACGAACAATTCATACGTGCATTTTTCACTTTTTTAAAATTGCATAATATTGATCTGTTCATTCTTACATTCTATTGCAACAAATGAGACCTTTCGGTAAAGTGTTACCTAGAGGTTGACCGATGTATCGGTTTTGCCGATTAATCGGCACCGATAGTTGATTGCTGGAACTATCGGTTATCGTCAAAAATCCATGCCGATAGTTTTCCGGGTTGCGTCCATTGCTGGAGCGGCTGAGAAGGGTCTGCTGTCATTACACAGTGCGAGAGCGGCCTCTAGTGGTTGAAATCACTGACAGCACATGCTATTTGTTTAGACACGTGATACTGCTCGCTGAACAGAGCGGGAAAGCCGACAGAAAATCCTGCCGCGCCACAGAGCGCCATTCACATAGTTTTCCATTAAATTACATTATATTGGTCCCGAATCGTTGTTAATGTACATAATGAATTGTGTATTGTGCATTTTCAGCCAAACGTTTGTCTTTCTGTGGCTCTAATAAAGCCTGTGTGCTTCATTTATAGAGCTATAATATAGGTCGCGCTTTCTCTTTCCGTTTGCTCCATTTTTTAAACACCGAACTTCAAACTCATCCATGCCAAATTGTTCATTCTTGAAGTAAACTTTTGTCTGTTTGGTGATTAAATAAACTGTTTTAGACCACTGCTCGAGTTGAACGCGACGCGTTCGGAGTGTGTGTGATACCGGTGAGTTCTCCTAGACTCAGCGCTGCGCTTTTATTTTGATTAGATAATCATCAAGTGTTCAAGAATAGAAGCAGTTAAAGTCTGAGAGTATACATACAATATCCATATGTATATAATTTTAATGCTATAGCCTTTGTGTATATATTTAAAGATGCGCATCTTTAAGCATGACTGTTGAAATTAAGTGGCAACACTTTAAAATAAGAGTCCATTTGTAGCATTAAGATGAATGAAAACTGTGTAAGTATTGTTCCTTGTTAGAGTGTGTTAATTTCAACATTTACTATTACTATTATTATTATTTTTACTACTACTACTAGTGTTTCAGTACTGTTTTTGTTAATAAAGCACTATTTTAGTTTTTGTTCAGTATCAATTTTAAAACAATCGGTTAATTAATCCGTATCGGCCAGTGTGGTCCAACCTAGCTATCGTTATCGGCAAAATCCACTATCGGTCGACCTCTAGTGTTACCACATAATCATAGAAATGAACTGAAAACAGAACAGACCTGGTTTCTTGTAGCTGACGTAGATGTAGAGGGCCAGGACGATGACGTTGGTGAACAGCGCCGCCCACCAGTTGATCACAAACATCACCACGCAGCACAGCACGGCTCCGGCTAACGACACCCACTTGTTATAGTATTTGAAACTCGGACGCCACCCTGTTCAGATGGAGATCTGTGAATTACTCATGATACTGTCTGAAACGATCAGTGTCAACATCACGCTCATTTTCAGTTTCCTCAGCGAACACTTGCCTGGGGAGTTCGCCAGCGACGCGTGGAAAACAGAGAAATTTATCAAGGCGTAAGAGGCCAAGAAGAAGTTGGAAATGATGGGAGCGATGATGTTTAACTCAGCTGAAACACCAACACACTGGATTTTAGAAGCAGTCTCTGTCATTAGTGTATAATAAGCAGATAAGTCAGCATTAGGTGGAGTGTAGTTTACCGATCAGGATGAAGGCCAGGCCGATGATGAAGGTGAGGACGTAAGCACGCAGAGGCTCTTTGTTCTTCCCGTATCCTTTGGCAAACACATGCATTCCAGGGTAGAGTTTATCCTTACACAAGGCCTACAAAACCACACACACATTAAACTCCTCCATCATCACAACAGATACCATGAAGAACAGAATGAGGGTTATATGAAACATCATAAGCTCATAAACACTGATATACTTACCACTCAAACGGTTTTGAACAGTAAGATTTTTAATGTTTTTTAAAGAAGTCTCTTCTGCTCAGCAAGCCTGCATTTATTTGATCCAAAGTACAGCAAAAGCAGTAATATTGTGAAATATTTTTACTATTTAAAATAGCTGTTTTCTATGTGAATATATATTAAAATTTAATTTATTTCTGTGATGTGCAGCTGTATTTTCAGCATCATTACTCCAGTCTTCAGTGTCACATGATCTTCAGAAATCTGTATAATATGCTGATTTGCTGCTCAAGAAACATTTCTGATTATTATTGTCATCAATATTTAAAACAGTTGCATACATTTTTTTCAGGATTCTTTGATGAATAGAACAATTCAAAGATCAGCATTTATCTGAAATAAAAAGCTTTTGTAACATTATACACTATTCCATTCAAAAGAGTCAGTATTTTTTACTTTTTATTACTTTTTTGGTAAAGAAATTATAGAAATTAATACTTTTATTTAGCAAGGATGCTTTAAATTTATCAAAAGTGATGATAAAGACAAAATATTTCTATTTCAGATAAATGCTGTTCTTCTGAACTTTTTCTAATCATCGAAAAAAAATCAGTTTTCAACGTAATAATAATAATAATGATAATAAATTAATCAAAATATTAGAATGATTTCTGAAAGATCATGTGACTGAAGTAATGATGCTAAAATTTCAGCTTTGAAATCACAGGAATAAATTACATTTTAAAATATATTCAAATAAAAATAGTAAAAATATTTTAGAATTGTACTGTTTTTGCTGTACTTCAGATCAAATAAATGCAGGCTTCTTTAAAAAACATAAAAAATCTTACTGTTCAAAAATTTTTGACTGGTATAGTGTATAATATTTGGCCAATATATAGGGTATGGTCATGCAAGATGCATCATCATTCATAATTTCTGCATTAGGTAGACACTTTTAATCCAAAGCGATTTACATTGCATTCAACCTTTCCATGTTTCAGTTCATGCATTCCTGTGGAACTGACCGTTATCACGAGTTTGGCTTTATTAAGGCTGTTATTCTGTCTGTCTGTCAAACAAAAAGATGATGCTCGCTCACTGATGCACCTGATGACTGCGGAATAAATTACTCAAAATGCAACTTATAGATAATCATTGCACAAAAATCAGAACGTGCAAGCTTTTGTATGGCTTTTTTAAGGCTGTTATTCTGTCTATGTCTGTCAAACAAAAAGATGATGCTCGCTCACTGATGCACCTGATGACTGCGGAATAAATTACTCAAAATGCAACTTATAGATAATCATTGCACAAAAATCAGAACGTGCAAGCTTTTGTATCAGGCTCTTATGTTAAAACAGTAAAAATGTGTAACGGATGCTTTTCAGATGCAAATGTGTTTTTCTTGTGCTCATCACATGAATTACTTCACATGAAACCAGAGACTCAGCATGCTTCTGTTTTTCAAATAAAACCAAATAATCTACACACATAAGCAGAGAGATCAACAGATGCATGGAGAATCTCGGAAGAAGCCCGTGCGCATTTACAATACAGATGTTTACTGTAGACAGAGATATCCTCCTCACATTTCCAGAATCAGAATCCTGCCATACAAAACTTTATGTAACTGTCTAAATTTGATCTGGTGTTTATTGAAACTGCCCAAACACACAAGTCTTATTTATAGTATTTTTTATTTAATCTTTTGTAATGGGGAACATATCAGAATCATGAGAAGTGAATGAAGGTCAGTGTCATAAAAAACTGATCCAATGCTTGCTTTTTTGAGAAAAAAGTGTGTGTGTGTGTGAGTATGTGTGTGTGTGTGTGTGTGTGTGTATGTTTAAAACCAATTTTAAGTTGGACAATGACAGTTGCAATGACTGAAAAGATTTCTCAGAAAGAGGTTTGTTTGTGTCCTGACCTGGAAGACTTTAGGAGCGCTGACCAGAGAAGCCAGCGCCGATGAGAGAGTGGCAGAGAAGATCCCAGCTGTGATGAGTGGCCCGAAGCCAGACACCAAACTCATCACCTGTAAGATCATCACCAGCACACGGAGCATCAGTAAAGCTGAACGAGTTCACCACATCTCAGAAAACATCAGCATAACACATTATGGGCCAGATTTACTAAACAGGGCAAATTAGCGTTAGAGCGCAATTCCATAAAAGCCCCGATGGGAGGGGAACATTCTGCGTGTGATTTACTATCAATGCTCACATTAAAGAACACAGAAGCAGTAGATCATTTCCATAATGACCAGAGAATGGAATTACATTCTCTGGTCATTAATTAATATTTTAATTAATGTTAATGTTAATAAATGTTGTCTTTTTTCATTTACTTACAGCGGAATACAAAGGAAACATGAAAATAATGCAGTGGGCTGAAAATAACTATTCTATAGATGTATTATTGTTGTTATAGATATTGTCAAATGTAACGTTATTCTCCTGATTCCTGAAAATAGAAAATGAATGAAAATGTACAGCCCATTCAGTCAAAATGAGGGATAAGGATTATTTGTAGTGCAATCTTATGATTTGTTGCAGTGTTTTTGAGTGGAACTTCCCCAAACCAGAAGTGCCTCCCATTATTTAAAACGCAGTAGGCTCGTTAGGAAAAAGGAGGGATATTGTAATGCACAGTGTAAGTTACTTTTAAAAGTAATGCATTACAATGTTGCGTTACTCCTTAAAAAAGTAACCAATTATGTTACTTAGTTACTTTTTATGGAAAGTAATGAGTTACATTACTTTTGAGTTACTTTTTAAAGCTGGGCAGGGCTTGCTTGTTTGATTTTAAATATAAAAAGTTCCTCTTTTACAAATGTAAAAGCCCTTTTCACACCAAAAGTGAAATGAATGCGCCTCAGGCTGAAATGTAAATGCACGTCTGTACAGTAGAGAGCGCAGCTCAAACTAATCATATGAAGAATATGACGCAGGAGAAGAAAGTTCAACACTATTCAGCAATCTGTGTTTCATTTTTGCTTCGTATGGTTGAAGCGGATCATCGAAGGTCAGTAGTTCATAAAATGGGATTAAATACATAAATGATATTTGTCGTATTTAACATATAATTGCAGGTTTGTATAATATTCTGAGTTTGCATTCAACTGTTTTTATACATTTTGTGGAACACTGAATGTGTTTGTGTGCAGTGAGATGAGTAAACACATGCATGTTCATATTTAGTCTAGAGCTACAGTAAGATCATGTTCACACACAGCGCTCTGCACTGACTCCTGGCTTCTGTCACCATGGCAACACCAGAGCTGTCACTCAACACATGAGAAACAAAGTAACTGGCGTTACGTATTTGAAAAAGTAACTCAGATATTTCCCTCTAAACTAAAAAGCAATGCATTACTTAACAAGTTACTTTAAAAAAGTAATCTGATTACATAACTTGTAAGGCATTACCCCCAACACTGGTAATGCATTACTTTTAAAAGTAACTTCCCCCAGCACTGACCATCAGCATACGGATTCTGATGAGCACATCTGTCACACACCTGGAAGTCATTCTGAAGGCCGTACTTGCAGCCACCTTCTTTGCAGATGGAGAAGTCGTATCCCAGCGTGCAAGCGGCATCGGTGCAGTTCTCCAGCGAGCCCACTAGGGTGTCGTTATCATCGCCTGTGGCATCCCGCACGATACAAGAGCCTAAAAACATGGCAAACCCATAACATCAGCTCTGATCCACGAGTAAAGAACAATCAGAGAAAGAACGACACTCAAGTACCGTTCGAGATGGCAACAGCGATGTAAACCACTCCGGTTATGAGGATTGCCAAGAGAGTTCCTTTAGGAATCGCTAACTGCGGATCCTAGAGAGACCAAATCAGCTGTTATGAGATGTGATGACCAACTAAATCCAGCAAAACTCAAATACACTCTTGAAAATAAAGCTTCTTTAATGGCATCCATGGTTTCATGAAGAAGGTTCTTTATAGTGGAAAAAGGTTGATGATTCAGAATGTTCTTCACACTAAGGAAAAATGTGACTCTGGAGCACAAAAGCAGTGTTAAGTCGCTGGGGTATATTTGTAGCAATAGCCAACAATACATTGTATGGGTCAAAATTATCCATTTCTCTTTTATGCCAAAAATCATTAGGATATTAAGTAAAGATCATGATCCATGAAGATATTTTGTAAGTTTCCTACCATAAATATATCAAAACTAGTAATATGCATTGCTAAGAACTTAATTTGATCAACTTTAAAGATGATTTTCTCAATATTTAGATTTTTTTGCACCCTCAGATTCCAGATTTCCAAATATTGTCCTATCCTAACAAACCATACATCAATGGAAAGCTCATTATTCAACTTTTAGATGATGCATAAATCTCAATTTTAAAAAACTGACCCTTATGACTGGTTTTGTGCTCCAGGGTCACATATATAGAACTGATCACTGAAAGGTTCTTTGGCTAACCAAAAATGGTTCTTTTATGTTATCACTGTAAAAACAGTCTTTATTTTTAATCGTGAGAGTAAACGATCCTCACCGCCAGGTCTCCTGATATATTGGCTCCTGCTAGGATTCCTGTGGCGGCCGGGAAGAAGATAGCAAAGACGGAGAAGAAGGTTTCATCATCTCTGAAGTCTGGACCCATGTTCTCCATCATTATGGCAGCTTTGAGACAGACAAACACATGAATGAACTTGTCATTGGATTCGTTCCTCCAGCACTGATCTTAAATAATTATCAATGATCACACAACCTACCGTTATAACCGAAGAAGCCTTGAGGTTCCTTTGACTTCAAGGGGATGAACGATCCGATGAAGTAGTTACAAATAGCTGCCACAAGAATCACCAATAACACAATCTGGGCCTGTCAAAGACATCACATGACTTACAATATCTGCAGAAATAACACAGACCTGCATCATATCTGCTGAATGAATACTAATTTTGACTGCTGATTCCAAAAATAGTGTCTCTTTTGTTGGAAAGAGTCACACTTTCTCACTAAATATGATGCATTTCTTAGCATTGTTGCTTTTGCAACAATTTATTTGTGAATTTGTCTTGCATTCTTCCTCAATCAGGAGAAAAGCACAACAAATGCATGATTCCTGTCTGAATCTGAGAACCATTACAACTATTTGATAAATTCTCAGCCTATTTTCACATGCATGATATTGTTTTATGAATAATCCAGATTTTCACTTTTTCCACTCATTTGCAGACTGTAAGTTAAATTATACATTTTGATTGCTTTTGTTATTTTGATAAGTGCATTAAAGATTATGTCATTTTAAAAATATTCGTATTTTATGAAACTGCATGATGGAAATTGATATCTTTGAACTCAGCATCTTCAAATTAGGTCATAGGCTTTTTTTGCAAATCAGCAGAATATTTTTTTAACATGCACAGCTATATAATTCTGTATCTATAGACATGTGCATGTAGGAATATACTGACCTTAGCCTCCCACTCCATGCCAGCAAGAGAGATGCCCAGAAGTAAGATGACTGTAAGCGTGCCGACGATCCTGATGTCATTGATCTCATCCGTCATGAGAGCATCTATACTCTGACAAACACAGAGACAACCGTGTGCTTACATCATAAAACATTATGAATGCATCTATATGGATGATATATGTCAGTCTGTCAGCCTCAAACAACCACAGCAGGCATGCACATCTAAAATAAATACATTTATTAATTAAGTGCATGACCAAAAACACTAATGCATGAGTCTGATGATGAAACATCAAGTCTGTCATGCTCATTCTTCATCATCATCCTCCATCCAAGGCCTTTGCGTTCATACTCACATCCAGAAGTTCAACGACAGTTTCTGCAAAACCCACAACATACATGGCCACAGCGACAGCATTGGCAAAGGCAAAGATCAGACCGATGGATCCTCCAAACTCTGGACCCAAACTCCTGGAGATCAGGTAATACGCCCCGCCTGAACACATCCAATCACAGACAAAAACACTTCACTTTAGACCAAATATAACCAGAAGTTAGAAGTTAGAAATAAAAAAGTGAACTCTCCAATATCAACAACAAAAAATATCAGCAATAACATATACAATTTTTTTTAAATATATTCATATACACTTTCTTGCCATAATATTGACAATTTAACAGACAATATTTTTTTACACTTCATGCAAAAAAATTATAATAAACTAAAAATAACTAAAAGTTCACTATACATTTTATGCAACATTTTTAATCCAAAAAGAAACCAAAAATCCCTGCACTTTATGCAACATTTGTAATTTTTAACAAAATTAAATATAATTGATATGACATACATAAATTATCATATAAAAAGTGTTCTGAGTAGGAGCACATCAATTACCTAAGCATTATGCATTGAGGCTTACAAATAAAAGTCATCTAATTATCAAACAATTTCATTGTTTATAACAGTGGAAATAAAAGCTTTTATTTAAAACCTTTATTCTAAAAACATTTTTTCTGTAAATCAAACTCAGATATGCTTTTAATGCATGCATATTCAAATCTTCAATATCGTTGGTTTTAAGAATATGAACCTTTCTGTTTAAAATAATACTTGATTTAGGGTTATAGGGTTGTAAGTATAATGGAGTTAAAGTTATAAATATAATATGTGAGCCTGGAGCACAAAACCAGTCAATTTTATGAAATTGAGATTTATGCATTTATGCAAGCTTTCCATTGATGTATGGTTTGTTAGGATAGAACAATATTTGAAAATCTGGAATCTGAGGGTGCAAAAAAATCTAAATATTGAGAAAATCATCTTTAAAGTTGTTCAAATGAAGTTCTTAGCAATGCATATTACTAATCAAACATTAAGTTTTGATATATTTACGGTAGGAAATTTACTAAATATTTTCATGGAACACGATCTTAACTTAATATCCTAATGATTTTTGGCATAAAAGAGAAATGTATAATTGTGACCCATACAATGTATTGTTGGCTATTGCTACAAATATCCCCCAGCGACTTAACACTGCTTTTGTGCTGCAGGGACACATATATTAACACACTGACCTCCGCGCACGAAGCCGTTGGTGGCGATTGCTGATGTTGAGAGTCCAGTGATAGACGTGACCACGATAGCCGTGAGAACGATGGCGCAGGACAGAGCTGCAGGAACACAACACAATCTGTGACCGGTTACTTGACCTGATTCGGTTCAGTGCTGCTGGTTAGTTATCGTACCGATGCCCGCCTGACCCACGATCCACGACATCCGGATGAACAGCATCACTCCCCAGATGTTCAGCATGCATCGTATCTGCGCACAAGCATCATCAGAAACAGCTCTATTACCAAGTATGTTTACGCACACGAGGAATTTGACTTGAGCTTCCAGCGCAGAAGAAAGTACGGACATAGTGCAAACAAACATACATGATAGTGCAGACATACATAGGAATAACACAGTAGAAATGGAATATAACACTAATATACGAAAAACAGAAAATTAAATCATAATGATAATAATGCACTATATACAGACGTAGAAGTGTGAGAAAGAATATAATTGTTTAAATTAATTTACAGACATGTTATTTACAAGTGTGCAGTTTACAAATGTCCAATTTCCGAATTCTATATATATATACACTACCGGTTAAAAGTTTGGGATCAGTGAGAGTTGTAATGTTTTTAAAGACGTCTCTTCTGCTCATCAAGGCTGCATTTATTTGATCAAAAATACAGAAAAAAACAGTAATCTTGCAAAATGTTATTAGAATATAAAATACTGGTTTCTATTTTAATATCCTTTAAAATATAATGTATTTCTGTGATGCAGCGCTGAATTTCCATCATCATTACTCCAGAATAAAGCGTCACATGATCTTCAGAAATCATTCTAATATGCTGATTTATTATCAGAGTTATCAATGTTGCTACAGTTGTGTTTTTTGGAAACTGATACTTTTTTCAGGATTCTTTGAGGAATAAAAAGTTCAAAAGAACAGCATTTATTCAAAATATAAATCTTTTCTAACAATATAAATCTTTGCTATATATTTAACACGTCCTCGCTGAATAAAAGTTTTAATTTCTTTCAGAAAAAGAAAGAATATAAATGTACCGACCCCAAACTGTTGAACGGTAGAGTATATTGTTAGAAACTATTTCTATTTTAAATAAACGCTCTTCTTTTGAACTTTTTATTCATCAAAGAATCCTGAAAAAAGTATCACAGCTTCCAAACAAATATGAAGCAGCAACAGTTTCCAGCTCTGATAATAAATCAGCATATTAATGATTTCTGAAGATCATGAGACACTGAAGACTGCAGTTATGATGCTGCGCATCACAGAAATAACTTAGATTTTAATGTATATTAAAATAGAAAAACGTTATTTTACATCATAATAATATTTCACAATAGACATCTTTTTCCTGTATTTCTGATCAAATAAATGCAGCCTTGAGCAGAAGACACTCCTGTAAAAACATTACAAACTTTCTGATCCCAAACTTTTGACCGCTAGTGTGTCATTTATGATGGACAATGTATAGTTATGGAAGTTTGAATTGTTCATAAGCACTATGTGTGTTTGTGAGTGTGTGTGTGTGTGTCTGTCTGTGTGTGTGTGTGTGTGT